CTCTTATCTAATAATGGACTCTCCTATCTAATAGTGATCCATCATGTTCAATAGTAGACTCTCCTATCTAATAGTGGACTCTCCTATCTAATAGTGGACTCTCATATCTAATAGTGAGCTCTCCTATCTAATAGTGAGCTCTCCTATCTAATAGTGGACTTCAAAAGCTTTGTTTTCTATTACTTAGATTGTGTACCCTCTCCTATGTAAGGATGGTCTCACATAGAGTTTGTAGTGGTGTCCCCTGGCTAAAGCTGGCCTCATCGAGACTTTAGAGTGCACTTTCCTATGTAAAAATATACTACGGCAGCCATGGCTGGCCTTTTCTGTATTACTTCTTATGGTAATAGGTAATTTCCCAAGATGACAAGTAATAGGTTTTAATAGACATTATAATCCTCCTCCTCACTTCTCACACTGATACCCTGGTGTGGTAATTAACAGCATCATCTGTTAAATTACTTTGTATGCCATTTGATCAGATATATCACTTTACATCAAGACACAACCCTATCACTGTAAGAGAACTAGGTCCCTGTTTACCTATGGTGATGAATGGGCTCAATTCGCAGTATCTGAAGAGCACAGCACAGCTCTGTCTAAAAGTACACTCTCTCATTTATACCATCTGGTGAATGCATTTGCTGCATGTTCTACACATTGATTAGGAAAACTCATCAGGAAAACTACAGTACAGTAAGTTAATCATCACCATTACAGTACGTTAGACACTCAACAACACTACAGTACAGTAGGTAACTGATCAAATTACTGTACAGTAGGGAACTCAACAACACTACAGTACAGTAGGTAGCTCAACAACACTACAGTACAGTAGGTAGCTCAACAACACTACAGTACAGTAGGTAACTCAACAACACTACAGTACAGTAGGTAACTCAACAACACTACAGTACAGTAGGTAACTCAACAACACTACAGTACAGTAGGTAACTGATCAAATTACTGTACAATAGTGAACTCAACAACATTACAGTATAGTAGGTAACTCAACAACACCACAGTATATATGGTAACTGATCAAATTACTGTACAGTAGGTAACTGATCAAATTACTGTACAGTAGGGAACTCAACTACACTACAGTACAGTAGGTAATCAACAACACTACAGTACAGTAGGTAACTCAACAACACTACAGTAGGTAACTGATCAAATTACTGTACAGTAGGGAACTCAACAACACTACAGTACAGTAGATAACTGATCAAATTACTGTACAGTAGGGAACTCAACAACACTACAGTACAGTAGGTAACTGATCAAACTACTGTACAGTAGGGAATCAACAACACTACAGTACAGTAGGTAACTCAACAACACTACAGTACAGTAGGTAACTTATGAAATTACTGTACAGTAGGTAACTGATCAAATTACTGTACAGTAGGTAATCAACAACACTACAGTACAGTAGGTAATCAACAACATGTAACTCATCACACGATACTGTGATGGTGGTGATATTATTGTATTTCTAGAACTCTGACGTAATGGATATGACTTTGTGATACATGTTAACTTTATGGAGCTAGGATAAACCTGTATTTGCATATCAAGGTTATCTGGTTATTTTGGGAATGAAATCTACCCATGAGTGGTCTGGGATAAAAGCCCCCAGGAATGTTAGCCACTATATTTTCATATATTTTGATCTCCTTACAGGCTAATGGTGCTACCACAACAATTTGGTCAAAACCTGTCAACTATGCTATTTTGGTATGTCATTGAAAGCAATTTTTCCCAATTTGACTTCTTTTGACTCCATCCCTCAGCCCAAATGTTGGTCTGCCCATTCTTTGTATAACTGTGATCCATATGTGTTGCGCATGCTACCCTTACAGCTTGGTTGAAATCTGTACCAAAAGTTGGAAGGAGATGTCAGTTAAATCAAATCAGCCAATCAGACCTATTTTACCCAGCCCCACAGAGCAGCTGAGGGTTATGCAGCCCATCTATATGTCTAAATTTTGATCCCTATGAGCTATTAAGCTTGTTATTATATATTAAGTCAGTTAAACTGTATATTGGTTTTATGAGTTGTTGATTAGGATTGTATACAGACAGTTAAATTTTACAAATTATTACAAAAATAAAATGCTCCTAATTAACATACCATACAATGCTATTTATTTCAATATGATTTTCAAAAACCTAATTTTTCAAAAGTAATGCTAGTTTGGAGAAGAAAATTAAATTTATTTTTGTTTACCATTTCCTAATTGAGAACCTAAAGTACCTGTAGATAAATATCAGCCAACAGGGACAATATCTGGTATGTACAGCTGGAAGGTGTCAGAATGATTCCGTTCTACAGCTAAAAATGGGTCAATAATGGCCCTCTCAAGCAGTCCTAACAATGTCCTCATCTAGTAATCACTCATTACATTCTAAAAATCTTTTTAGAATTTTCTTATGTCAATCAGTGTGTTGATTAACCAATTTTTGATTGCATAACTCCCGCCCAGGTAGGTTGTGATGGGGACTAATATAACAGGGTCAGCTAGCATCTCTGTCCCTACGTACAGTTTTACATCCTTAATGGTTCCAAGTTGAAGCTAATAATAGTCCACATAGAACAACCTAAATCATACCACTGACAAACAGTATAATTCCCTTGTAATTCCGCCAGTTTGATATATCAGCAGTGCAGCTTGTTTTCCAGGAGAACTGGTCAGTGCTAACTGACGACAATGATGGCGACGCCTAATGACCAATTACTCCCCTCTTGTCGCCACGAGATGTCCTATTACCAGTCATGTTCACAATTGGCCCATGTTTGGAGATTTTCTCAGTTGCTGATTATCCAGCAGTAATCTCTAAATGATTAGCACTGTTGTAAACCAGATGATCACATGTTGCATTATTTTTATAATGCTGCAGCAATATTTAGGAAGATCTGTTGAAAGTGTCACCCTATATAAAAAAATATAAAAAAATATAGCTTTTGGGAAATTAATAACCTACTGCACCTCTCTACCACATATTATAAATGAGCTGTTAGAAGTACTAGTACAGCTTATAACAAGCAGGACACCTATACACTCTCCATAACCCACCCAGACAAACCCTCACACACAGAGGTACTCAGTTTGCAGGTCAGAATCACTACAGTCACTGCTCTCACACTGTGAGTGTGTATGTCTGCCACCCCTAGAATGTTAAAAGCCCTAGAGTTGTTTACGCTAGGTTAGAGAGAACATAATAAAATGTCATCCAACACATAAATAAACCATATATACAGAATACTAAAATGCTTTACATAAAATTTGTTATTGTGTTTTCAGGATGTTAAAACCTGTCATTAAAAATAGCTATTATATTTCTGATCTTTTAAACCCTGTTCTTAATATGTAACCGAGGTAATACTTTGTCAATGCCTCTGCTAGGGATTAAATTTAATTAAGGCCTGTGGTTTACAATTTGGATGCTCTACAAATTGAGCGAAAGAAAATTTCTCCATAGCAAAGTTGATAAGAAGCGGCTTGAACTTAAAATAACAGGGTGACATTCCTGCCTTCCAGGAAAGAACTCTTCCCGAGCTTTAGAACTCTTCCCGTGCTTTAGAACTCTTCCCGAGCTTTAGAACTCTTCTCGAGCTTTAGAACTCTTCTCGAGCTTTAGAACTCTTCCCGAGCTTTAGAACTCTTCCCGTGCTTTAGAACTCTTCCCGAGCTTTAGAACTCTTCTCGAGCTTTAGAACTCTTCTCGAGCTTTAGAACTCTTCCCGAGCTTTAGAACTCTTCCCGTGCTTTAGAACTCTTCCCGAGCTTTAGAACTCTTCTCGAGCTTTAGAACTCTTCCCGAGCTTTAGAACTCTTCCCGAGCTTTAGAACTCTTCCCGAGCTTTAGAACTCTTCCCGAGCTTTACCAAAGGCAACAACAATGCTCGTGAGAACAAGGCTTAGTAATTTTGTCAATATTTTCCATGTACATGGGCGCCAAAGTCACAGAGGTCATTATTTTCAATAAATCTTGGGAACCTAGAACCTGAGCTCCTTTATTAATCTGATGCTCTACTGAATGAGTTCATAGAAATTCTTCTAGACGAGTCAGAAGAAAGCTAGTATTTTTACCAGGGTCACATACATACAGTACCTAACAGCTTTATTGTATCTGATTGTGAATACCACACTACATTTAGACTTACAGTAATAAGCATAAGTTGGGTACCTTGCAATTTGGAAAACAGGAATGATTGCAGAGCAGAATTCTAAAAAACAGCTATAAAAGATACTTTTTCAGTAAATCAGAAAATCATGGTGAAGGGATGGGATGTTGGGACCAGAAAAAGAATAAAGATCATACATATATTTATATTACCAACAACACAGAACATTTTATCATAACCACTCTGAAAATAAAAAAATATTTAAAAACAGAAATTGAAAGTACCAATATTATCCTTATTTTGATAAATATTATCCATGTAAATATATCAATTTCTGTTCCATTATCGTTTTCAATTCAATTTCTCCAAATAAAAATTTGATTTGTATCAGAAAAAATTACTGATTATTTTCACACTGAAATTAACAGCTGTGTACTTCATTAAATAAAAACATGATACACTATACACTGTCACCAAGGACCCTTGACTGGTATTATTTTCTAAATCAATGGAAATGTTTACTCCACTACCCAGCTATAGGGGTGGAGGAAGGGTGAGATGTGGCCATCATAACAAGCTAGTCTCCCCGCTCCCCTCCTCCCGCATGTCTATCAATCGGATAGCTATAGGCCTATATCTGTTTAGTACACAGAACACAATAATTGGGATATTGATTCGGACAATACCATATTGTACTGTTCTCTATATCTTTCACAGATTCTTGTGTCATTCATTTCATAGTAACAGCTGCTGTCTTGCATCTTTAGAAAAAAAAAAAAATGGCAGAATTTGATCCGGCTAATTTTTTACACAGATTATTTTACAATGTAGATATATCATTCTAAGGATCTGTGTTTGTTTGTTACAGGCCTATATACATCTTACACAGAGCGATAAATGACCGTCAACTGCCAATCCAGTTTTTTCTGTCCACGGTAGCCATGAACACACAGTCCCCAAGCCAGAAAATTCCTGAAGATTAATTGGAAGTGGTGGCTTGCAGTTGATGCCAAAACCTTGTGATGTCCTGTGGATTAAGCTGTCAGTAACTCGGCTACCTATTTGACAGATATCAATACAGTCAGTATCATATTGTCATTCCACATTCATCCGCCCATCAATAAATGGATTTTGTTCCACGATTTCTCCACTGATTTTTTCCAGTCAAATGATTTTTATTCAAATGTCAACGCACCTGATCAGAGACAGATCATAGGCTAATACTTGGAAGTATTACAGTTCACCCTGTCCGGTGATAGATGTACAACTGGCTAATATCTCCGGAAAGTCTGTGCTCCCTTTATCAGTGATAAAAATGTCCCTGGCCGGACTGTCTGGCAAAGACAATTCCTTGGACATTCCAATATTATACAACTTTACGAAAACTGCGATGAATAATCTTGTGGATACCAACACAACAAATCTGACAGATGTGGGAGCTGTCGGTCCCTCCCAGACAGCACTACATATTGGAGGTATTATAATGCTCCTGGCCCTTCTCTCAGGATTGTTTGGGAACTTTTTAGTCATGATTGTAATATTCACCAAGCGAGATCTCAGCAACATAATCAACATCTTCATCATCAGCCTGTGTATCAACGACATAATCAACCTTGGGTTCAACAACAACATGGTACTCCTCTCCTATTTCCTAGGACGTTTTCCAACAGGAATGCTCGGATGTGAATTAGCCACGCACTTTAGTGTTTTGCTTATGGGATCATCTTTGTGGCATACTGGACTCATAGCCATTCATCGCCTAATTGTTGTTGTATTCAACAATTTTTACAAAATAATTTCTAAGAAAGCGTATACCATATTTGTGCTAGTATTTGCTCGTGTCGTGCCGCTTCTGTTTCTGTGTCAACCATCACTAGGCAACATGGCCTACTATGAGCCGAAACTTCTCCGATGCATTGTGAAGAAAAATTACGGACCTTTCACACTGCTGGTTAGTGTGTTTCTGATGATGCTACCATCAGTCATCCTCATCGTTTGTTACATTGCAATTTTCATCAAAGTGCATCAGTCTTCAAGAGCATCAAGAGTGTCACGTCAACGTGAATGGCTCAAACGTGAGATAAAAATCACCAAAATGTTTGGTATGGTGTTTCTCCTAATCTTGATTGGGTACCTTCCATATGGAATTGTGCGAGCAATGGACAAGCGTTTGGAATGGCATGCAGATTTTTATGTGGCAATTACAGTGTTCTTTGCCATAGCAAACAGCAGTAACCCCATAGTATATGGAATAATGGATAAACAAATACGACAGCAATGTTTCAATGCACTGCATATCAGAATGTCAAAAGAGGATGCCAATAATGGAAATATCACATCAAGTTCAAGGATGTCCCATAATGGCTACAAGGACAAAGAGGAGGTCACTGAGGATGTCCCACTCAACAATTCAAAGACAGATTCAGAAAAGGAAGTGAAGTCGTAAACTTACTACTGGATTTTTTTTCTTTAAAACTGAATTAACTTCATGAAGATTTTCTCAACCTAAAGCAATTGATATGTTATGTGATTATTGCAAAATTTATCATGTCTGAGGATTCAAGACTGCCTTGGTAAATATGTTGCTGAGGTTACTATGTATCATGATCCTTCAAGAATTGAATGTCTCATAGTTTCCAAGGTAACCTTGCATAGTCATCCTCTGGAGAAAAAAAATGTTTCCATGGTAACCAAATTTAATGACATCATAAGAACAATGTTTCAGCAAAATTTGTGTTTATAAGGTCATATTGTTTCATGATTGCCTCAGTAAAATGTTTCTATGGTAACCTTGTCTGATGATCCTTTAAAGACCAAGCCTCTGTAAAATGTGTTTCTATGGTAACCTTGTCTGATGATCCTTTTAAGACCAAGCCTCAGTAGATTGTGTTTCTATGGTAACCTTGTCTGATGATCCTTTTAAGACCAAGCCACAGTCAAATGTGTTTCTATGGTAACCTTGTCTGAGGATCCTGTTAAGACAAAGCCTACGTAAAATGTGTTTCTATGGTAACCTTTTCTGATGATACTTTAAAGACCAAGCCTCAGTAAATTGTGTTTTTTTGGAACCTTGTCTGATGATCTTTTCAGACCAAGCCTCAGTAAATTGTGTTTTTTTGGTAACCTTGTCTGATGATCCTTTTAAAATCAAGCCACAGTCAAATGTGTTTCTATGGTAACCTTGTATGAGGATCCTGTTAAGACAAAGCCTACGTAAAATGTGTTTCTATGGTAACCTTGTCTGAGGATCCTGTTAAGACAAAGCCTAAGTAAAATGTGTTTCTATGGTAACCTTTTCTTATGATACTTTAAAGACCAAGCCTCAGTAAATTGTGTTTCTATGGTAACCTTGTCTGAGGACCCTGTTAAGACAAAGCCTAAGTAAAATGTGTTTCTATGGTAACCTTGTCCGATGATCCTGTTAAGACCAAGCCTCAGTAAATTGTGTTTCTATTGTAGCCTTGTCTGATAATCCTGTTAAGACCAAGCCTTCGTAAAATGTGTTTCTATGGTAACCTAATCTGATGATACTTTAAAGACCAAGCCTCAGTAAATTGGGTTTCTATGGTTACCTCTGATGATCCTGTTAAGACCAAGCCTCTGTAAAATGTGTTTCTATGGTAACCTTTCCTTATGATACTTTAAAGACCAAGCCTCAGTAAATTGGGTTTCTATGGTTACCTTTTCTGGTGGTCCTGTTTAGACCAAGTCTCGGTAAAATGTGTTTCTATGGTAACCTATTCTGATGATACTTTAAATACCAAGCCTCAGTAAATTGGGTTTCTATGGTTACCTTTTCTGGTGGTCCTGTTTAGACCAAGTCTGGGTAAAATGTGTTTCTATGGTAACCTAATCTGATGATACTTTAAAGACCAAGCCTCAGTAAATTGGGTTTCTATGGTTACCTTGTCTGGTGATCCTGTTTAGACCAAGTCTCGGGAGAATGTGTTTCTATGGTAACCTTGTATGAGGATCCTGTTAAGACAAAGCCTACGTAAAATGTGTTTCTATGGTAACCTAATCTGATGATACTTTAAAGACCAAGCCTCAGTAAATTGGGTTTCTATGGTTACCTTGTCTGGTGGTCCTGTTTAGACCAAGTCTCGGGAAAATGTGTTTCTATGGTAACCTAATCTGATGATACTTTAAAGACCAAGCCTCAGTAAATTGGGTTTCTATGGTTACCTTGTCTGGTGGTCCTGTTTAGACCAAGTCTGGGTAAAATGTGTTTCTATGGTAACCTAATCTGATGATACTTTAAAGACCAAGCCTCAGTAAATTGGGTTTCTATGGTTACCTCTGATGATCCTGTTAAGACCAAGCCTCAGTAAATTTTGTTTCTATGGTAACCTTGTCTGAGGACCCTGTTAAGACAAAGCCTAAGTAAAATGTGTTTCTATAGTAACCTTTTCTTATGATACTTTAAAGACCAAGCCTCAGTAAATTGTGTTTCTATGGTACCCTTGTCTGATGATCCTGTTAAGACAAAGCATCTGTAAAATGTGTTTCTATGGTAACCTTGTCCGATGATCCTGTTAAGACCAAGCCTCTGTAAAATGTGTTTCTATGGTAACCTTTTCTTATGATACTTTAAAGACCAAGCCTCAGTAAATTGGGTTTCTATGGTTACCTCTGATGATCCTGTTAAGACCAAGCCTCTGTAAAATGTGTTTCTATGTTAACTTATTCTGATGATACTTTAAAGACCAAGCCTCAGTAAATTGGGTTTCTATGGTTACCTTTTCTGGTGGTCCTGTTTAGACCAAGTCTGGGTAAAATGTGTTTCTATGGTAACCTAATCTGATGATACTTTAAAGACCAAGCCTCAGTAAATTGTGTGTCTATGGTTATCTTGTCTGATGATCCTGTTACGACCCAGCCTCAGTCAAATGTGTTTCTATGGTAACCTTTCCTTATGATACTTTAAAGACCAAGCCTCAGTAAATTGGGTTTCTATGGTTACCTCTGATGATCCTGTTAAGACCAAGCCTCAGTAAAATGTGTTTCTATGGTAACCTATTCTGATGATACTTTAAATACCAAGCCTCAGTAAATTGGGTTTCTATGGTTACCTCTGATGATCCTGTTAAGACCAAGCCTCAGTAAAATGTGTTTCTATGGTAACCTTGTATGAGGATCCTGTTAAGACAAAGCCTCTGTAAAATGTGTTTCTATGGTAACCTTTTCTTATGATACTTTAAAGACCAAGCCTCAGTAAATTGGGTTTCTATGGTTACCTTGTCTGGTGATCCTGTTTAGACCAAGTCTCGGTAAAATGTGTTTCTATGGTAACCTTTTCTTATGATACTTTAAAGACCAAGCCTCAGTAAATTGGGTTTCTATGGTTACCTCTGATGATCCTGTTAAGACCAAGCCTCAGTAAATTTTGTTTCTATGGTAACCTTGTCTGATGATCCTGTTAAAACAAAGTCTTGGTAAAATGTGTTTATATCACGTAACCTTTTCTGATGATCCTATAAGACTAAGCCTCAGTAAATTGGGTTTCTATGGTTACCTTGTCTGATGATCTTTTTAAGACCAAGCCTCAGAAAATTGTGTTTCTCTGGGAACCTTGTCTGATGATCTTTTTAAGACCAAGCCTCAGAAAATTGTGTTTCTCTGGGAACCTTGTCTGCGGATCCTATAAGACCAAACCTCAGTAAATTGTGTTTCGATGGAAGCCTTGTCTGATGAACCTGTTAAGACCAAGCATCAGTAAATTGTGTTTCTATGGGAACCTTGTCTGAGGATCCTTTAAGACCAAACCTCAGTAATTTGGGGTTCTATGGTAGCCTTGTCTGCTGATCCTGTTAAGACCAAGCCTCAGTAAATTGTGTTTCTATGGGAACCTTGTCTGAGGATCCTATAAGACCAAGCCTCAGTAAAATGTGTTTCTATGGTAACCTTGTCTGATGATCTGTTTACGAACAAGCTTAAGTCAAATGTGTTTCTATGGTAACCTTGTCTGATGATCCTTTTAAGACCAAGCCTCAGTAAATTGTGTTTCTATGGGAACCTTGTCTGAGGATCCTTTAAGACCAAGCCTCAGTAAATTGTGTTTTTTTGGTAACCTTGTCTGATGATCTTTTTAAGACCAAGCCTCAGTAAAATGTGTTTCTATGGTTACCTTGTCTGATGATCCTGTTAAAAACAAACCTCAGTAAATTGTGTTTCTATGGTAACCTTTTCTGATGATCTTGTTAAGACCAAGCCTCTGTAAAATGTTCTTCTATGGTAACATTGTCTGACTATCCTTTAAAGACCAAACCTCAGTCAAATGTGTTTCTTTGGTAACTTTGTCTGATGATCTTTTAAAGACCCAGCCTCTGTAAAATGTGTTTCTATGGGAACCTTGTCTAATAATCCTGTTAAGACAAAGTCTCTGTAAAATGTGTTTCTATTGGAACCTTGTCTGATGATCCTGTTAAGACAAAGTCTCGGTAAAATGTGTTTATATGGTAACCTTTTCTGATGATCCTATAAGACTAAGCCTCAGTAAATTGGGTTTCTATGGTTACCTTGTCTGGTGATCCTGTTAAGACCAAGTCTCGGTAAAATGTGTATCTATGGTAACCTTGTCTGATGATCCTATAAGACCAAGCCTACGTAAAATGTGTTTCTATGGTAACCTTTTCTGATGATACTTTTAAGACCAAGCCTCAGTAAAATGTGTTTCTCTGGTTACCTTGTCTGAGGATCCTGTTAAGACCAAGCCTCAGTAAATTGTGTTCCTATGGTAGCCTTGTCTGATGATCTGTTTACGAACAAGCCTCAGTCAAATGTGTTGCTATGGAAACCTTGTCTGATGATCCTATAAGACCAAGCCTCAGTAAATTGTGTTTCTATTGTTACCTTGTCTGATGATCTGTTTACGAACAAGCCTCAGTCAAATGTGTTGCTATGGAAACCTTGTCTGATGATCCTATAAGACCAAGCCTCAGTAAATTGTGTTTCTATGGTTACCTTGTCTGATGATCCTTTTAAGACCAAGCCTCAGTAAATTGTGTGTCTCTGGTTACCTTGTCTGATGATCCTGTTAAGACCAAGCCTCAGTAAATTGTGTTTCTATGGTTACCTTGTCTGATGATCCTGTTAAGACAAAGCCTCTGTAAAATGTGTTTTTATGGTTACCTTGTCTGATGATCCTATAAGGCCAATGCCGAAGTAAAATGTGTTTCTTTCTGTTGTACTTCAAAATGTTCTTTGAAAATAGTGACAATCAAATAAGAATTCCTTTTATCACTTGAAAACAAATTAAACACCATTTTTTTTAATAAAGACTCGATGTGTATCGTAACTTGTTCTTTGAAGTTTGTGAATTATGCTGCAATATAAGTGCCATAGCATGCTATATGTATACAAAATAACAATGATGATGTATAGAATGCCTAGAGGACCTAAGGTTTCGATCGTTCAAACTCGTACAACCTGAAATCTTACCCTGGCTAGACTATTATTATATACATTACAGGGAGTGGTTTACAACCTGAAAGCATGAAGAATTTATCCTGTTAAAACCAATGATGTATCTTATTTTGACAAGATATAATCAAATATTTTGTTTATGCTTAGAAATAAATCAATAGCAGATATAGGAGTAATTCAATCAAATACAATTACAATTGCCAGAACATCACTTTAACATTTAAAATACCTCATTCCCTAAATTACATCACGGCTAGATTTATCAGTTTGGGTTTACAGATTTTAAAACAGCAGAGGAAAACCTCACTTGATAAAATGGAAAGTATTCAGTTGGATTAAGCAATATTTTCAGAAATTCTTGTTAGAAGATGCCTTCAGTCAATTTAAAATATAGATTTAATAAATAAATTATCTCACTGAATAATGTGAGGAGAAAATTGACAAGCAAGAATCAAAATTCAAACAAATGAAATGTTTTATTCAATATTTGTTGGTAGGGCAGCAAGCTGCAGCCAGCATTCTCTTCATACAGAAACCATAATCAACTATATATACTGAAATACAACTATAAAGCAAAAATGTTATCAGTTAATTAAGGGCTGCTGAAACATCTCAACATGCATTCAGATGTCTTGTACAAGTTTTCTTCTCACTGATATTCAAACCTATGCTTATAACATCTCAACGTAGTTCACATCAGGTAACATATCCAAACTAAAGAAAGTAGAATGTTGTAGAGCCATACCTCACTGTCACTCTACCCATCATCTTTTAGCTTCATCTCATCACAGCATGCTATTGACATTTTACTGAAATAATGCATGTTTTGTGAAATTTTAACACTTTCCCAGCGTCTACAGATAATGTCACACTTGCCCCTATGTCTAAGTGCAATTTTGATAGCACACCTTTTCCAACATGCTCACACATACTC